TCTCTCTCTCTCTCTCTGCGTGTATGAACACGGACGCGGTAGATCTCGTCGCACGAGACGATTCACTTGCTTCTTGCGCGCAGAGAGAAAGGACGGATCGGCGGATAATCTCCTGCGGAAGAGGCATCTATCATAGCGTAAACTTTCAACTATTTATATATAAAAATGAAAAGAAGCAGTAATAATTAAATAAACGTTAGCTGTATACGCTGTACGACTATACATAGAACGCGAGTGGTTGGTGGTATCGGCAACGGAGTCTTCTTCAAGGAGGACGACTCGTGCCAATCGCGCGAAGAAACTCATTCACGGACCAAGAGACGATTAATACAGGAGAGAGTAACCCGGAGAGAGAAGAGTGAATGATGAAACGACGCGAGAGGAGACGACACGTAGCTGCTCGTATTTAATTGTAATAATGAAGTAATTCCGGGGGAATGAAAGAAAGGGTGGGGACGCTGCGTCGAGAGAGTGAGACTTTTAGCTCTCGGGCCATGCCTGTTCCTCGCGGACGACGAGGTACGACCAGGTATGTAACCACCTCGATTTCGTCGCGTCGATTGTTTAGATCGAATTCACAAATAGGTATCAAGGTGTACGTGTACATAGCTGTATGGTAAAACTAGAGAGCGTGCTAACGTGCGATCACCGTGAATCAGTTCAATGAAGTTCAACGATACCAAAGAGACGGTCGAAGCAATTTTCCTAATTGTACATTAGACGACTATGTGTGATTAAACTGACATACTGATTATTCCTGTGGCTTTTCTTTGTTGTCTCCGTCGCTCTCACTTCCTCGGTTCATCAGGGATCATCCCGCGCCTTGAGAAATCCTTCCTCAGAGTGTTTGGCTTCGTCTGTTAGGTTTAACTCGCGACTTACCAGCGTTCAACGTTTCACTTTTCACACTTTTCACACTGTTCGAAGTTTTTAGACGTGACCTTTACGTTGCCTCGAATGTTGCACTCGGAATGATTTCAACGTTGCAGGAACGTTTCGACGTTACGATAATTTTGTAAACTAGCAATAAAACGCAATACACAGATATCGAGAGCACAGAGTGTACATATCGATCTACCTAGTCAGTTAGTCGATAACTTTCAGGGCAACAGTGTTCAATAAACTAGAGCTGGTGTTCTGTAAACACTAGATTTTGACAATTTCCGTCGTTCGTCAGACTACTCGCGGCGATTTTATTCCGAGCCTGGGGAGCTTCTGAATT